TTGTTGCTATCCCAGCCAGATCATTCCCGTGGGATACAGAGGGAACACCCTGTCCAGAGGACACAGAGCCTGGGTCAGCTCAGGCCAAGAGCCTTTTTCTCTCTTTAAACTGACTGTTATCCTCTCATGGAAGTGCCCAGTGATAACAGGAGGGTGTCTGGAACATTTGGAGCTGGATCTCATGGGAGGGGATGAGGATGCAGGTCTGTGTTTGGAGGGTTTTTTTTTGTTTCTTTGTTTTTGTTTTTGGTTTGTTTTTTTTTTTTATTTCCTACCAGACTAGAGGATTCCCAGGTTGTTTTCCAGAGTTCTTGGACAGGGAGCCAAAATTATTCTGATGTTCACAGCTGAAAGCTCCACTTTGTGGAATTTTCTGGCACGTGTGGGACGTGTGGAACAGCTCCCTGTGGGAATTGTGGTGGTGTTTTGGGTCCTTGGTTCCAGGACAGCCTTTTCCCATAAATCCTCAGCAGAGGATACAGAAGCTCTTGCTGGGATTGACACTCAGTCTAATTCCTGCACTCCGGTTTATTTACCTTTTCGATTCATTTATTTACATTTTCCGTTAAGCTGAGGTGTGGAACTGCCCACAGAAAAGAGCCCTAAAGGCCAAATGAGCTCCAGCAGGAACGATCAGAGCTGTTCCCACACCCTGATTTATCACCTGTCACAAACTCACGTCGGCTCCGTGCTCTCCTTCCCCCCCCATTCCTTCATTCCAGTGTCACTGCTGGGAACAGAAGGTCCCTGACACCACTCAGAGCAGTGCCCAGAATGAATCCCAACACCTCTGAGCGTCCAAATCCAGGTGGAAAATAGCCCTGTTATCTCATATAAATAAAGGCAGGCTTGGAATTGCAAATATGGAACGAAACCACCCCGTTCCAGGGGAGGGGAGGAACCAGAAGCAGGAGCTGAAGTGCAGGAGAGGAGGGGAAGGAGCATAAAAGAGGGATTATTAAAATAATTCTGTGGCAGAAAGTCTGGGTAAGACATTAAGTCCTGGAATAATTTAGTTTGGGCAGCTCTTTGTTCCCTCAGCCCTTCAAAACGAAGCCAACTTCCAAGCTGGAGCCAAGCTGGAGGTTCAGATTTAGGCAAGAAAGGAGATTCCCATCCCCTCAGTGTTCCAAGTTCCATCCTTCCTGGGGATGTGGTTTCTCCCAGTGTTGGGTTGGATTTTTCTGGCAGGTGGTGCTTTTGCTGTCACTTCCAGGTAGGAAAACATGGAGGAGATCAGGGGAAGCATCCAGGGTAGGCAGGGAAGGGGAGATGGATAAAATGTGTGTGGAACTGCACAAGGGATAAACAGTCTGGGGGTGACTTGGATGAGCACTTGGATATGGAATATGTTTGGATGAAGTTGAGGGGAGATGTGGTGGAGCTTGGCCATGGAATCACAGACTGGTTTGGCTTGGAAAGAACCTTAAAGCTCATCTCATTCCACCCGCCTTCCGCTATCCCAGGTTGCTCCAACCTGGCCTTGGACACTTCCAGGGATGGAGCAGCCACAGCTTCTCTGGGAAAACTATGCCAGGGCCTCCCCACCCTCAAAGCCAGGAATTCCTTCCCAATATCCCATCTAAAACCCCCAAACTTCCTGTTTTGTCTTAACATAGATCCTTTTCCATGGAGGGATCTGGTGGCTTCTCCTGGAATTGTCCAGCTGCCTATTAACAGTTTTCCCATTCCAACAGAAAAACGATAACACTGAGTTAGTCCACGAGATTTTTTTTTTGGGGGGGGGGAGGGCAGAAATCACCCTCTTTTAGAAAACATTCCATGAAATCTCCATGCCACGTGCAGAGCTGGAGCTGTAAGACATGGATGCCTCCCATGGATCACAATAATCTCCAGAATGGGGGGAAGGGAGATTAAAAAAAAAAAAAAAAAAAAAAATCACAGCTTTAATTTCCCCCCCCTTAATTCCCAAGGGCGATGGAACTCCATTATCCAATCTGCTCCAAATTGGGCACCTCGTGAAATCTCACACCCCCGACACTTAATCAGGGATTACTCCCGTGGGATTGGAAGCAGATAAAAAGGAAGCCTCACATATTTGGGAGCAATTGCATAAGGTAATAAAAAAAAAAAACCAACCTGCAGAGCTCTTTGTCCTTCGTGGCGAGTGGGAATTGTTTGACCTACTTTTCTTTCCTTTTTCCCTTATGTTTTTTTTTTTCTTTTTTTTTTTGGATCCGTGACCCCTCCTGGGCAGCAGTGAATGCTCAGTTCATGTGCAAGCGCAGGAGTCTCAGGAGTGTTTTCCTCCGAGGTGCTTTTATGGCTTTTTACTGCAGCGATTCGAGGCTGGGAAAAGGGAGGGAATGTTTTAAAATCAATATTTAGCTGGTGTGTTAAAGGCCTGACTGGTAAAAGGAGGGTTTTTGGGGCAGCTGAGGGGGATTTTATCCCCTCAAACCTTCCCTGTGTGGATTTTACCCTTCTAAACCTTCCCTTTATGGATTTTACCCCTCAAACCTTTCCTGATGGATATTACCCCTCCAAATCTTCCCTTTATGGATTTTTTTACACTCCAAACCTTTCCTATCTGCATTTTACCCCTCAAACCTTCCCTTTATGTATTTTATCCCTCCAAACCTTCCCTTTATGTATTTTATCCCTCCAAACCTTCCTTTTATGGATTTTATCCCTGCAAACCTTCCCTGATGGATTTTACCCCTCCAAACCTTTCCTGGCTGGATTTTACCCCTCAAACCTTCCCTTTATATTTTTTACCCCATCCAAACCTTCCCTTAATGGATTTTACTCCTCAAACCTTCCCTTTATATATTTTATCCCTCCAAACCTTCCCTTTATGGATTTTACCCCCTAAACCTTCCCTGATGAATTTTATTCCCTCAAACCTTCCCTGTCTGGATTTTACCCCTCAAACCTTCCCTGGATGAATTTTTTCCTCCTCCAAACCTTCCCCGTGTGGATTTTTCACCCCTCAATCCTTCTCCCTTTCCTCAGAGCGTTTGATTCCAGAGGGAATTCCAAAGGAATTTTCTAGGCTCGTGCTTGCCAGGATGTACCTTTTTTTACCCCTTCTAAACCACTTGGAAATTCAGCTGAGTGGTCCTGAGGAATATTTGTGGTTCAGCCAGAATAACTTGGAATTGGGAATGAATTTAACCACAAAATTGTTTTAAAACTCAGGAATGACGTGGCCTCAGCACCTTTTATTTTTCTTTTTTTTCCTTCCCAGATAAACTGATTTTCCCCTGTTCTGGGGGGATTTAACTCTCTTTGTCTTCTGACCCCTTTCCTGACTGTATTAATCCCATATTTCTTTTAGAATGTATTTTTTTTAGAGATCTTTCAGCATCTCTGGCTGGTGGGGAGGCTCAGGGAGCTGCCTCTCGTTACTCCTGGTGTTTGTAATTCCCCACAGATAAAGGAGCATTAGGAGCAAGTTCCCCAGTTTCTCTGGGAAGTCATTTCTGATTTCCATATTAATCAAAACTGGCTTTACCTTGGTCCCTGCCCTAATCCTTGGACCAACATAGGGAGGAGATTACACTCTGCACATGTCAAAAAAGCAATTAAAATTCACACACAGGAATCGAGGGGGGAGGAGGGAAAAAAGAAAAAAAAAAAATCACCTTTTATTTCGTGAGCTGAGCAGGGAAAAAGCCCCTGACCTGGAATTGTTTGTTCCTTATTGGCTCCTTTCCCTTTGAAGTGCCTGCTGGAAGAGTCTTTAATATTCCAAGATGAAAATGCTGCCGTTCCAGTAGGATGGGAGGGCTGGACGTGATGGGAAGAGACATTTCAGGAGGGGGAGGATTGGCTGGGGAGAGCCTTGGATTTGTACTTGGAAAGGTGAGGGACTGTTAATAGATGGATATTCCAGGATCTTCCCAGGATGCAGCTCCCAGCCTATGGAAAAAGGAGGGCAGGGGAGGCACCTGTGGGTGGGAAAGGGTCTGTTTGGAGCTGTTGGACTGAAGGGATTTGGGAGGTTTGGGGCTGGAAAAGCAAAACCTGCCCTAGGTGACAGAGGATCTGGGAAAAAATGTGGTGGGAATGGCTTTGGTGGAGCTGGGTTTGGGTGTATCCAGGTATTCCCTGGATGGATCCAGGGGTGGGAAGGGGGGTGGGATGTGCACAGAGCGGGGGGGATCTGTCTTGGCTGTGCTGGATGAGGTGGGATGAGAGGATGGGATGGGGTGGGACAGAACAAAGGAAAAGAGTAGAATAGGATGGAATGGAAAGGAATGGATTTGAATTGAATAGAATGGAATTGGAATTAGAATAGGAAGGGATGAGATGGAATGGATTTGAATAGAATAGAATGGAATTGGAGTGGAATGGAGTGGAGTGGAATGGAATGGGATGGGATGGGATGGGATGGGATGGGATGGGATGGGATGGGATGGAATAAAATGGAATCCAGTGGATTAAAATAGAATAGAATAGAATGGAATTGTAGTTGAGCAGAAGCTGGTGGCTTTCCCGAAGGTCTGGGAATCAGGGAATCTCATCCCAGCTCTTGGCTGGGAAATGAACAGCCAAAACCTCGGGATGGAGGGATCTTTGTGGGATCTCTCCTGACAGCACCTTTGCACTTCCCAGCTGGTGGAATTAGGTTTGATTTTCAAACAGGCCGTGGAGTTTTGCCAGTTCAAACATTATGGATTCTCAGCTTCCCCCAAGGACAACTTGGATCTAATCTGGCCCAAATATGAGTGAGAGGCCCATTAAAGCCTTTTAACACCCAGAAACTGGTTTTATTAATACTCTGCCTGTGCTCCATCTGCTGCTCTGCTTGTCTGGAGCCAATGGATTTGGGAGCAGTTCACTGCCCTAGTCCAAGGCCAAAATGACCAAAATACCATATGGACAACTGGAAGTTAATTAGGATTTTAGAATTCAGTATCTAAGGATGTTGTGATCCCTAAACCCTCGGTCTCCCTGAGTTTGGCCTCTTCCAGCAACCCTAAATATTTTATCATTTGGGATTTTTAGCTTTGCAGATGAAAACTCAAGAGTTCACACTATAAAATCAGCCCTTTTGGGGCAGTAATTTAATTTGTGACATCGTCGTGGCCCTTCTGGCATTGTCTGTTTTTAAAACGAGCTGAAACAGGGAATTTGGTGTCCTCAGAGACCTTGTTTAAGGGTGTGAATCGGGATTATCTCTGGTGGAATCAGGACTGGAATCAATCTTCCAGTGCCAGAGGAGTGTATAAAACAAGAGATAGGAAGCAGGACAATGTTTGTTCTTAATTAGCCCATTGATTACTGATTAATTGATTGATTCCTGGGCAGTTCTTTTTTTTTTTCCCATTCATCCTTGATTGTGCTCAGGGCACAAGGAACCAGGATTTTGGCTTTGGCAGCGCACCTGGAATACCGCCAGTTTTAGGGTATTAAATTCTAGCAGCTGAGCTGGACTGAATAAATAAATATAAAATAAAAATAAAAGCAGTCTGTGACCAATAAGGAGCTTTTTGCCATCATTTTTCCAAGCAAGCCCCTTCCTGGAAAATTCCTGCCTGGGGAGGCGTCTCTGGCAGCCCAAAACTCACCATTGGGGACGAGTCCATCTCTAGCTCCTCCAGTTCCACAAGTTCTGTAGGAACTGTGCAGGAAACAGCCCCTTGTCCCAGAAAACATTTTAAAAAAGAAGAGATTTCCCTTCATTTTTCCAGGCTGGGAAACGTTATTGGATAAGGTTGAGCCACATTTCAGTGTTTAAGGAAAGCTGTGACGGCTCCTTTAGGACACTTTCTGAGGAGAAACAAATTCTGCAAACACAGAATTAACTCAATAATTGCAGGGAGCATCAACAGGGAATGAATTAAGCCGTTTTCCAGGACTTCTCCCCCACAGGAGAGAGGATGTGACACACTGTCTGTGGCCCAGAAGTGACAGTGATTGACGGCCTGACAAGTCCTGTCACTATGGTTTATTTACTGCCAAGTACTCGAGTGTCTCTCTAATGGCTTTGGACAGGAGCTCCCAGTTTTGCTTGTCCTGTCCCCAGACGGCTGCTGGAGGGCCTGGCAGCTTTGTGGGAAGTAAAAGTGAGGTGGAACCGGGATAAGGATGGAAGTGGGAATCATCTCTCTTGTCCAGCAGCTAAAGCAAAGAGGGCTGGAACAGCAGGTTTTCCCTGAGCGAGGGAAAATGAGGGCAGTGATCGTCCCAAACTGCTCCTGATATTTCCTTCAGACCTTTTTTTTGGGCTGGTAAAGTCTCCAAATTCCCTGGCAGGGTGAAGGCAGCAGCTCCAAGCTGATCTGTGGCATCCTGCAACCACGAGGTCCCATCGAGAGCTCAGAGCTCCGTGCAAATTCCTTGCTCTCCCTGCCTAATTCCCAAAAAAACAGGAGCCTCCAGCTCCTCTGGGCAGGGAGGCCCCACCATCCATCCCCTTGTCTTTGACCTCCAGCTGGGAAAATCTCCTCCAGGCAGGCAGGGCCTCATTGTGTCAACGCTGGGACCCTCTGGAATGGACACAAACAGGGCCTGGCACATGTTCCTCTCCATCCCCTTCCCTGCCAAAGGCACCCCTGCCATTCCCAGGACATCCAGCAGTTCTTTCAAATGAGTCTGTGCAATAGAAAGGAAATATGACATAAATAGAAAGGAAAATGACATAAAAAGAGATATTTTTTTACCATGTTCCTGTGGGTTTTGTCAGATGTTTGTTTGTTTGTTTGTTTGTTTGTTTTTACTGGAGGTTTCATAGGGAAGGTTGTGTTACCTGTGGAGATCCTGCCCTTGGTTTGGTTGTGCTTGCTGTGTAAGATGGGGATGATCCATAAGGAAAACTCCTTCAGGGGGTCTGTGATTTCACGCCAGTGGAATTCCCCCCCCTCTGGATCAAGCTGTGATCCCAGGGAGGGAGAGGAAGGAGGTGGAAGGAGGTGTGGAAGAGAGATGGAGAAGGAATTCTGACAAGGTCATGGAGTGATGGGACAAGGGGGAACAGCTTCCCACTGCCAGAGGACAGGGATAGATGGGATATTGAGAAGGAATTCCTGGCTGTGAGGGTGGGCAGGCCCTGGCACAGGTTGCCCAGAGAGGCTGTGGCTGCCCCATCCCTGGGAGTGTCCAAGGCCAGGTTGGAACAACCTGGGACAGTGGGAGGTGTCCCTGCCCATGGCAGGGGATGGGACTGGATGGGCTTTAAGGTCCCTTCCCACCCAAACCATCCTGATTTCCACGAGTGCCTTGGGAATAGAGATGGCACAACAGGACATTCCTGTCCAGGGCAGTCACAGCCTGAGCACAGGGTCAGAATTTGCTGCTCAGTGTGGCCAGGAGTGTTTAAAATTGGGAAACAGCAGGACCAGCCACGTGAAGATGAGCTTTGCACGGCCCTGGGGAACGAGCAAGAGAAGCTCCTACTTACATAAAGGACCTTTCAGGTGAAAAAAAGACCCAAGTTTAAAGTTCTTCTGGAAAAAGAGGCTGTTAAATGTGAGAGCAGATCTCTTTTGGAAGCAGCTGCTGTGTCTGGGAGCACATTTGCCTGCTCTGCTCCCCGGGCTGCTGAGGTTTGGAGCAGTAATGAGGGGGTGGCACTTTTTTTCGTGGGAATGAATGTATTTATTACCCAGAGACTTCAGAAAGGCTGGGTTCCCAACCCTCCATTAGGCTGCTCTGCAGAGCAGTCCCACCCTTGCTCTCAGCCTTCCCTCTATTTTTACATCCATTTAGCAGCAGTGGGCTGGGATGTCTGTGGTTAACGTGGGATGGTGGGTGGAAAACAAATCCCGGGGGCACTGGCACGTCTGGAGCTCGTCCTGGAGAGGTTTGGGTGGAATTGATGTGGAAATGCACCCAAAAATGGGCCACTCTCAGATGGATCTGTGGGATTAGGGAAGAAGGAAAGGGTCCTGCCATCCTTCCTGCTGTAGGTGCATTGGGGAGCTGGCAAAACTCAGGTTCATATAATTCGGGATGTTAAACATAAAACAAACCAGGGCTCAGTCCAGGAGGTTTTCAGCTCTGCCCTCCTGAGCTGGAAACTCTTTTTAACCTTAAATTTGGTTAGGAAAACTCAGTGACTTGGAGAATGTACATTTTGAGCTGCAAAGGGGGTTTCAATACAACAGATTTAAAATTCCCAAGGCCAAATTCCCGTTGGGCGAGGTGTGTCGGGATGGTTTGGCACCGAGTCGGGCCCGAGTTCTGGCAGGGCAGGAACATCTCAAAACACCCTGACAATGAGTTGTGGAGGTCATTTCATCACACCTGTAACATCCTCAGAGCCCCTGGTGTGGAAGTCGCTGGTGACAAAGGGCTCTGGCTGGTGAATTAAGAGCTGGGTCGTGGAAAAGTCACCCTTCGGGGCAGGTGGACCCCTAAAAACAGCAGCCTGATGGTGGTGGGTGGTGTTTGTGGGAGGGGATGGACGAGTGACGGGGTGGGAACTCAAACTGTGTGTCAGGTGGGCAACAGAGCAGCTGTGTGGGGATAAACCCAGAGCAGGTAATTTGGGATTCAGCAGGAGACGTTTTCCCACAGTTCCCCCAGAGCAGGGAAGGTCTGTGAAGTGCCCTGGGTAGGAAGCTGTTCAAAGATGCCAAGGGATATTCCCTGGGGGTACAACCCCCCCAAAAAAGGCAGGAGGAGATGCGTGGCCTAAGTGAGGAGCAAGTTGGGCTGGGCAGATCCTTCCGGATGGAGAAAGGCTCGTGCCGTGGGAGGAGAAGCTTTGTTGACACCTCTGGGGTGATTCCTCGAGCACCAAATTTGCACTTTTCGTGTCACAGCACGTGACTTTTCGGCAGGAACGAATTCCCACTCAGGACGGAGCCGGGAGGTTTCTCGTGTTTTTCTGCCCCCAAAAAGCTGCTCAGAAATCCTATTTTTGAAGGCTTGCTGAGGTGTGGGCGGTAAAGAACGAAGTGGATGAGCTTAAAATAGAACGTGAGGGTGTTCTGCAGGGGAAAACTACTTTGGCTTCATCTGGCTGAGGCAAAATCTTCCCGGGGCTGTTGCAGGAACAAACTGGTTTGCAGAGGTTGAGGGGAGAATGAGTGAAAACAGAAGAAAGGAGTTATTTAGGTTGCAAAAGTCCTCCAGGATCATCGAGTCCAGCCACTTCCCCAGCACTGCCAAAGCCACCCATGTCCCCAAGTGCCACATCCACGGGGATTTTGAACACTTCCAGGGCTGGGGATTGCACCCCTAATCTGACCCCAAAGGCACTTAAACCCCTCTTTTAAAATTCATTTCCTGAACCCCTTTACCATTCGTCTCCTAAAAAGAGGGGGCCTAAAAGCCATTAATCCAAAGCAACATCCCACCAAAAAGGAAAAAAGGGGTGAGCAGAGCTGGAGGGGGAACAGTCCAGAAATCTGAAAAATGCACATAGAGAATAAAAGGCAGCTTTAAAACACCTCCCTGCTGCAGCCCCACGTGCTCCTGGCTGTTGTGCCGGAGTTTTTCCAGCAGTTCTTCCCGGAGCTGTGTGCTCTCTCCCCCCGGGGGAGAACATCAAATGAACACTGGCTTCCTTGCTCCTATTGATTGTGGAGATGATATTAAATTAAAATAAAGGCAGAGAACAAGTTTTGATTTCTTGGGCGAGGACTCTCATCAATTTTGTTCGATGTGTTTTCGCCTCCTTTGCTGTTCCTGCATCATCACCAGGCCCAGGAGGGCCAGGGGCCCTTCAGGGGCAAATCCATACAAGATATTTTCCTTCTGTCCGTGGTATTTCCATGTCAGGGGGGTTTGATCCTCCTGCTGGGTTGGTTTTCTTTTTGATTTAAGGTGCCAAAATGTGGCAGGAAGGGAGCAGGGTCTGTCTGAGGAACAGGGGGAAAATCAGACACTCCTGAACCCATTCCTGATTCTTGGATCCAGACACCCATGGAATGTGGATCATCATGAGGGACTTACAGCTTTGGCTTCCACGAGGAAGCTTGTTTGGGGTTATTTTGGGGGGTGAAGAAAAGCCAAGAAACAAATCTCATCTCTCTTTCCCCTTACCCCCGCCCCCCCCCAAAAAAAAGGAGAAGTCCCCAACCCTGGAGGGTTTTAAAACAGGTGTGGATGTGGCACTTGGGGACGTGGTGGCCTTGGCAGTGCTGGGTTGGACTGAATGACCTTAAAGGTCTTTTCCAACCTCAATGATCCCCTAATTCCATGAATACACATTTGTCTCCATCTGCCTGAAATAACCCTGGAGTCTCAATAAGTGTCTGGCTGGAAAAACCTTTCTCCAAAGCCACAGTTTTCCTGTGGTCTGAGAGTGGTTTGATTTCTTTCAGGCTGGTTTTTCTGAAACTCCACAGTATTGGAAACTCTGGGGGTGTTTTTTTGAGGTGGGTTTAGATGTGGGTTTTTTAGAGGTGTTTTTTTGCTGAATTTGACAGCAAGTGCTGGTGGTGCCTCAGATGGAACTCGTGGCCCCCCAGGACTGTGTTTGCCATGGTTCAGACTGTCAGTTAAGGACTATTGTTAAAGATTAGGGGATTCAGGACTTGTCTGGGGGGATTAACCGGCTGCAAAGATCAGGAGAACCTCTTGGTGCTCCACCAGTTTGTCATCTGGATCCCATCCCATCCCTTCCCAGCACCATGGACAGCCATCACCACCTCTGTCCGTGGAACTGGAGGGTCTTTGAGGTCCCTTCCCACCCAAACCATCCTGGGATTCTACTGATCTGTGTGGCAAGTCGGGAGAATTTTAGGGAAAATAGTCTTGGAGCAAACTGGAGGCGGTTCAGGGTGGTCAGGGTGGCAAGTGGGGATCGTGGAGGAAACGGGAAGACTGTGGAATGATGGATGTCCTGGAGAAGAAATTATTCTCTCCTAATGAAGTGGAGGGTGAGCAGGATATCTGTGATTGAGGATCATCATTAAATTTCCACCTGCAATCACTGGGGCTGCAAAATAACCTTCTGAGGAGCTCCTTGATTGCTAAAGAACTGCAGATATTCCTGAGTACGACAACAACACAGTTTCATGCCTAAAAAAAAACTACCCCGTTAAACTGCTGCTTAGCCAACATTAACTCCAGCAATTTTTAATTAACCTGATTTAGAAGCCAAACATCTCCCTGATGAAAATGAGAGGGTAGAACACACAGTCATTTATTCCACTACAGTGGCCACGAGTGGTGATTGAGATTTATTCCGGTGAATATTCAGAATTTGGCCACGGGGTTTAGGAACTGGCACATGCTGGAAGAGATTTGGGGCATGGAGGGAGAGGTTCCAGTGACACTGTGCGGATGCTCAGAAAGGAGGAGGCCAGACCTGTTATATTTTTCATATTTTAAGATTCTAAAATATCTAAATATTAAAAAAAAAAAAAAGGGGGGGAGTGTGAACTGACTGTTAATTAAATCTTTCCAGCCTTGTTTGGCGGCATCAGATGGGAGGAAGAGTCTCCAAGGGTCACTTTGTCAGCCTTGGGTTGGTTCTGCTCTGGGATGGTGTCCAAGGGGACAGACTGTGGGGGAAAGCTCAGCAAAGCCGAATTCTCCACCAGAAAAGGAGGATTAATGTGTCCTGCTCTGTCTGTCCCAGGGATTTGTGCAGGAGCACGTGAGGAGGGATGGAGTTATCCAGGTTTTACTGTTTCCAGTAGGGAAGACTTTCCAGAAATGGAAGGAAACCAAAGCAAAATGGTGCCAAGGGGTGGGATCTGAGGGAATGCCTGGAGCTGTGCCAGGGGAAGGTCAAGTTGGATCTCAGGGAAAGGTTCTTCCCCCAGAGGGGGGCAATTCCAAACCTGCCAGAGCTCAAGGAGCGCTTGGACAACGCCCTTGAGGGACAGGGTGGGATTGTTGAGGTGTCCTGGAGCTGGACTGGATGATCCTTGTGGGTCCCTTCCACGATTGTCTGAAACTGGAGCAGCCCAAGGTGGGGAGTTTTTTGTCCGTGGAATCCACAGAGGACAAGAACTTCCATGGAGTGTGAGTTGGATCAGACACCTGCACTGGCTGTGGGGGGCACTCAGGGTCTGTCCAGCCCTGCTCAGGTGATTCTCCCTGAACTCTCCATGACCCATCCAAATGAAGCTGATGAAAACTGAAGCCTTTTCCAAAGAGCCCATTAAATCCCCTCCCGTGGCTCCGAGGGGGTCGGAGCTGCCGAGCGCACGTTCCTTCCAGGTGGCCTGGCAGGGAATCGGGGCCCTCCTGGGATGGCACTTGTGCAACCAGCAGTGAAAACAAGCCTGGCGTGTTTTCCTACAGCATCCCTTCAGCAGGAAACTCTGGATAATGGGAGCGCTGAGCACTGGGCTGGGTGCTCAGCTCTGCCAAGGAAAAGCTTTCCAAGCCGGCTGTGCCGGTGGTTTTCCACGGCTGAATTCCACATTCGGAGCATGTGTTTCCTCAGTGCTTTCCTTCCAAGCCCAGTGATCATCCCTGTTTTCTGCATTCTGGTCATTGCCCCCCGTTTTCTATGGGAATAAGGATGAAATATTGATGATGGCACGTGGAGCACATTCCCAGTTCTTCCTCCAGCCGCGTTTTCCCTCCTGGCTGTGCCCATTCCCTCTCTGCTCACACCAGTTTGTTGCTTTCCAGGGGTGTTATTGATAAAAATGCTGATTTTTTTTTTTTTGGTTTTTTTTTGGTCTCATTCCAGGTTATCCCACGGGATATCCCACGGCTGCCCCGGCCTACAACCCCAACATGTACCCGACCAGCAGCCCCGGCTACGCCCCAGGTAAAACCCCCCTGAGCAGGGGGAAATTCCAGGGGGAAATGCCACAGCTGCAGGAATGTCAGGAGCTGTGGCCTGTTTGGGGTCTGGGTTTCCCATGCCGGAGTCTGTCCCTGTGTCTCCTCCTGTCCTTCCCAAACTTGGGCCAAACTCGGGAATTCTTCGGCCTCTTGGACAGCACCAGCTGCTTTCTCCTCCATAAAAATCTCATTTTCTCCCTCCTATTCCCAGGGATCTGTTGGGTTTGGGTTTTATTTGGGTTGATGTGCTTCTGAGAAGGTCTTTAGCTGCATTTCTTCCCAGTAAAAACCTTAGGAAAGGAGTTTTGTCCCTGTGCTGGCCATCCTGAAATTCCCCTGGAGGATAAACCACTGGAAGAATAAAGGGAAAAGAGCTCCACAGACTAAGAAAAAGCCCATAAATTTATTAGTAGCTTGTCCTGCCAGAGCTTGGCAACGTCCTCCCTGCTCAGTCAGGGATATAAATCCTGCAGCGTTCCGGAATATTGGCCTGGATATTCTGGGATTCTCTGGATTCCAATTCAAGCTCCTGCCTTGTGTGATTTTTTTTTTCCTGTTGCTTTTTTTTTCCACAGTTTTTAAAGGGAGAGACACAAGGCAAACACCCCCAGCACTGCAAACTGTGCTGGTTGCAATAAACCAGCATTTATTTAAGCATTTTTTGGGATCCTGTTCTTCCAAAGAAAAAAAAAAAGAAAAGAAAAGGCCTTTTAAGTTGCTAAAAACGAGCATCTCAAATCACTGCTGCAGAGACACAATAAAAGTCAAATAATATATGTCTTCATTAAGCTGCACGTTCCCTCCCAGGCTTTCTGCCTTCCTGCAGCAGTTGTTGTGCTTTAACTCCCTTCATCAAGGCTTCCCTTTTTTATTTTCCTGAAAGTAGGACACACACACACACACACACACACACACTTTCCCTCCTGGAGGCTGGTTTGGGCTTTAGCTGCTCTTATTTATTAATAATGCAGGGGAGAAGGACGGTTTGCAGCCATGCCCTTGCAGAGCAGAACGAGAGAATTCCAAAATCAGGAATTGGAGGGGGGAGGGGGGGTGTTGTGGGACAGGTTGGAGGCTCTGAAATCCTGGAATGGGTTAGGTTGGAAGGGTGGGTACATTTTTTTTTTTTGCCCCATTTCAGTATGACCAAGGGTCCTCTGCAGGCACCCAGAGCCCACATTGTTTGCTCCCTTCCCACCTGGATTAAGCAGATAATGAATAAAAACTCTTGTTTTTATTTATTTTTAAGGTGGGAGGCAAAACCAAACCCAGAAGACACTGGTTGGAGGTGGCCCTTAAATGACATTAAATAACCATGGCTGGCTTTGTGACCCCTGAGAGCTGCAGCTCTTCAAAGGACAGGGAGATATTAATGTTCTGGAAACCTCCTTGGTTCACCTTCTGTGTAGTTTTAACTGATGGGTTCTCCAAGAATCCGTGATTTAATGGCCAGACCATGGGAATCTCCACCCCAAATCACCTGGATTTTGGGGTGGCTTTGATGTGGGGAGGGAAAACCTCGGAGGAAGGGCTGAGTGGAAGTAAATTGTGGCAGTCTCGGAGATTAAAATCTCTGGGAAATCCGGAGGCAAAAAAGAATCTGATCCTGAATAAAAGCAGAAGGAAGGAGTGTTTCTGTCCAAGAGCTAGAGTTGGGTCTCCAGGGGGATATTCCCAAGTGCAGTGTGCCATGGAAAATAAACCAGGCAGCTTGGAAATCCTTCATAGCTCCCAGAGCTTTGGGAGAGGGCTGAGGCTGGGGCAGGAAGGGATCAGTGCCTGAGTGGAGGAGAAACTGGGCTTGGATCTCTCACTTCCCACAAACCTCCTGGTTTCACAGAATCCCAGACTGGTTTGGGGTGGAAAGGACCTCCAAAATCATCTCTTTCCACCCCCTGCCATGGGCAGGGACACCTTCCACTAGCCCAGGTTGCTCCAGGCCTTGTCCTGCCTGAATTCTGTTGGTCCCTCCTCAAATCCCACAGGGTTTGGCTCTTGAGGTTCTTCTGGATCCTTTTCCTTGGCACCATAAATAGTCTTCCACAAACTGGGACACAGGAAGACCTGCCCAAAGCCACTGCTGACCTTCCCAGAGTTCCTCAGGATCACCCAGCGCTGGGATGGGACGGTCACGACCACCAGTGGTGGTACCTCCAGTGTTTTTTTCAGGGAATAAAATGCCTCACACCCCAGGCTCAGCTCATTTCCCTGCTGGGAATCACGAGGCCAAGGGCTGGTTTGGAGGGACAGAGGTGACCTCTGGGGAGGGATGGTGGCCACAGATCCTCCTGCAGGTCCCTCAGCTCACCTGTTGTCCATAAAAGGTGGGAGTGGAAGGGAAGGAGCAGCAAAATGATTCCATAAACATGGGAATTGTCACTCCCCTGCTGTGTGTGACTCCTCTTCTCTGTCTCCACCCAAGCCACCCTCCTGATGAAGCAAGCCTGGCCTCAGACCTCCTCGTCCTGCGCCACCGAGGGCACCTTCCACCTCCCGGTGGACACCGGCACTGAGAACAGAACCTACCAGGCCTCTTCTGCAGCTTTCAGTAAAGACACCTTTCCTTCTGGGGGTGATTTCCTGATCTAGGCACCATTTTGGGTGTTCATTTAGGAATGGGGTTATTTGGGATCATATTTGACTGGGGAGGGATCTTAAAGACCCATCTTGTTCCAACCCTCCTGTCTTGGGGGCAGCTTCCACCAGACCAGGGGTTTGCTCCGAGCCTGCTCCAACCTGGAGTTGATGGATGTGTTAAAGCCATGAGGAAAGGAGGGCACTGACCCTCCTGCTGCTCCCCCAGAGCAGGAATTCTTCTGGAAGTGGAGAAGGTGGAACCTCTCCCTCAGCTGTTTGTGCCCCAGGAGCAACCTGGTGCTTGTCTCCGAAGGGATATTGTTTCCTCTTCCCTTAAAATCGGAAGAATTCCAAACTGAAGCCTGATTTTTGAGGGACACCAGCTGAAATGCTGGCTGAGCAGAAGCAAGGGGAGGAGGTGCTGTTCAGGGAACACAATCAAACAGGCTTTTCCAGGTGGAGCCTTGGAATCTCATCCCTGAGGAGGACAAATGGTGCCTCCCCCGGGAGGGCTGATAAGCTCCCTGATAAGGCAGAAACTTTGACAAGCCTTTGGGAGGCTTTCTCTTGGAAAAGGGATGTGCCTGCAATTCTTTGGGGAAATGGTGCCTAAATTCACACCAGGCCAGGTTTGACCAAGTCGTGAATGTTCGGAGAAATCCCAGATTGTGATTAGTAAAAAATTAGATATTGTTGGGTGAAATCAGCAATTTTTAACAGAAGCTGGAGCTTGTTATTGTTCCCACCTCCAGACACCCCTCAGGTGCTGAGGACTGGGCAGCTCCCAAGATCTTTTTTGGAATAAAACAAATCCAAAATTGAAAAAAAAAAAATCCACTATATGGAAAAACAAGAGGCTGAAGGCTTTATTTATTTTTTTTTTAATTTATCCTTAAAAAAAGCACGACTGGAAGTATTCTCGAGTATTTCTCCCCATTTGGCAGTTAAGCAATAATGTTTAATTAATGGAGCCTCTAAAGGCTGGGATTTCAGGTGCTGTGGCATCCCAGCCTCGGGGCAGGTCACACCTCCTTTAGAGGTTGTTCCTTCCATGAGGTTTTATGGCACTTCCCTGCCAGGATCCTTCATTTTAGTTTATTCCCCATATACTCAGCCTCTCCTAAATGCTGGAAAATGAGTTTAAGTTTCCTTAGACTTTTGATAAAGTCTCAGTGTGGGACTTGGATGCTCCAGATGATGGCCAAGACCAGGGGATGCATTTCCTTTTCCTAAAATCCAAGCAAAAGAAAGAGAACAATTCCAGTCTGGGTTGTGAGGATCACAGGTCCTTCAAGGGATGAAATATTTAAAGGCACACCCATCATTTTCCCCCTGGTGGGTGTCACAGAATCCTGGAATGGTGCAGGATCTCGAAGGGATTTGTTCCAAACCCTTGTGATGGGCAGGGACACCTTCCTCTATCCCAGGTTGCTCCAACCTGGCCTTGGGCACTTCCAGGGATGGGGCAGCCTCTTCCCTGGGCACATCCCTCTCCATGGAATGTCAGTAGGTGCTGTTGTGCCCCTCCATACCCAGGGAGCAGCACGACCAGCACCCCGAGCCCCTCACGTGTGCGTGGCCTGGCTCTGCCGCCCCAAATCCAACCCTAAAGCCGGGATTACTCCTGTCTTTCCCAGGATACACCGCAGGAACTCCCTACAAGGTGCCACCGACCCAGAGTAACAACGCTCCCCCTCCCTACTCGCCGTCTCCCAACCCCTACCAGACCGCCATGTACCCCATCCGAAGTGCCTACCCCCAGCAGAACCTGTACACGCAGGTAGGTGGGGCCTGCCAGGGGGTGGCTTTCCCTCTGCTCTTTAATGTCCAGCAACTATCCCTGGGAACTGCCTGTCCCTTCTCTCCCTCGTGTTTCAGGCCCTTCGTTATTTTGGATGTGGAGCTTTTTCTGTTGGCTCCTTTTATTCCCTTTGTTTCCAAACCCCGTCAGTGTGGGCAGCCTGGATCTTGGAGCCCTGTTGGAATCCCAAGAAGATGATGCACTTCCCAAACAAGCACCTTGGGATCCTCCAGGAGCCACTTGTGCTTTTCTTCCATCTCTTGTTCCTTTTCTACACCAGCAACAAAGTCTTTGTGTCCTGTTTCATCCCACCCAAAGGAGCTTTGTCCCAGATGGATTGACTCCTTGATCCTCAATGCTGATCCCCCCTCAGTCCTGTTGCCTCCATCCATCCATCCCACACACCCACAGATCCAGCTTTCCCCATTCCTTGCCCGTCTCTCCAGTCACAGGAGAGACACCACATGAAACACCATCCCTTTGGCAGCGCTTTGGGTTGGGAAAGCTCCGTGAAAAACATGGAATGACGGCGGCTTTTCCCCCCTCCTTTACCCCCCTCAGGGAGCTTATTATACCCAGCCGGTGTACGCGGCGCAGCCCCACGTCATCCACCACACCACCGTGGTGCAGCCCAACAGCATCCCCTCGGCCATCTACCCCGCTCCCGTGGCCGCGCCCAGGACCAACGGAGTGGCCATGGGAATGGTCGCCGGCACCACCATGGCCATGTCAGCAGGTGAGCAGGGAAGTCTTTGGGAGCAGGGTGTTTTCCGCCTCTCACTGGGGTGTGCCCAAAAACAGCCCTTATCCTGCACAGGATGAAAAATTCCCAGCTTTGAATTCTTTCCTCTGACTGGCCCATAAATAATCCCCGGGTTTGTCCACTCCAAATACTTGGATTTGTCTCCTCAAGTTCCCCCTTTTTTAGGGCTCTTACGCTTGACATCATTATGTTTGGTTTCTCCCTCCCAATTCCTCCACATTTTGTGTGCAGGATTCCTTGGATTGCTGGCACGTGATGGGCTGGGTTTATTTGCTTCCAAAGCCTGTATCTCTCTCATTAACAATTCTTATTGTATATTGAATTATGCCAAGAAATGCATCATTCATCCTTTTGCATCTGCACTGGCTGGGAAATAGGGCTCTATTATGGGATGCAGCCCCTGTTCCAAGCAGGGGTGGGTGTGACAGGAATCACTTGGGGATATTTACTGTTGCTTACTCTGAGAAGTGGATTAATTAATGTATGTGGGATGTGTTAGAATTTCTCTAAGAGACTCCCAGAAACAGGGAATTTGGGTTGAGCACCCAGTTGCTCCCAGAACAGAGCAGTCCAGGGCTGTTCTCCCTTCCCAGGAAGGCACTGTGCACATTCCAGCTGGAAATCCCTCTGGCTGAAAAAAGAAGTTGCACCAGGCAGTGCCTTCATGGCTGGGAGAGGATCAATCCTGCTGCATCCCAAGGCTCTGTGGCTTTAAAGGAAGCAAAAGAACTCCTTGGAGATGAGTGGCAAAGCTCATCCTAATTTTCCCTGGAAGAGTTCTTGGTTTTTTGTTTTTTTTGTCACCTCCTTTTGCATCCCTCATCCATTCCAGTTTGGTCCTTGGATGGTTTCAGATCTCCTGCTGCAGTTTAGCCTGGTGCCTTCAGCAGGTTAAAGATGTCACCTGGGTTGGTCTTTAAGGACAAGGAAAATTGGAAAAAAAAACCCAAAAAAAACAACAAGGAAAACCCTTAACAAGATGAGGTGATGACCTGAAGTACCATGGAAAACATCCTGGAGCTTCAGGTGTGTTTATCCTGCTCATGGTGTTGGTTGATCCCGACCGCAAGTCCAACACCTTCCAGCGAGGTCTCACGGGCAGAAGGATATTTGGGATGATGGGAAAGCTAAAAGGAGGCAGCTGGTGCTGTTCCTGTTCCTGGGACGGGGGAGGGAGCTCTCCTTGATCCGTGTTTCTCTTGCAGGAACCTTGTTGACCACCCCCCAACACACCGCCATCGGAGCACATCCCGTGTCTGTGCCAACGTACAGGGCTCAAGGAACCCCCACCTACAGCTACGTACCTCCACACTGGTAATCCACTGGCCAATCCATGTGAGTGACCCCTCTGCTCCGCCCCTGGGCATTAACCAACCTCCCAACCTCAGCCAGCCTGGCCTTGGACACTCCCAGGGATGGGGCAGCCACAGCTTCTCTGGCCAACCTGTGCCAGGGCCTCCCCACTCTCACAGGGAGGAGTTCCTTCCCTATATCCCATCTATCCCTGCCCTCTGGCAGTGGGAACCCATTCCTCCTTGTCCTATCCCAAAATTCCCTTATCAAGAGTCCCTTCCCTCCCATCACTGGTATATGGGGTTTTTTTCCCTGCTAAAAGGGAATCTCCCATGATGATCTGGGAGATGGTTTCATCCATGAGCACCGAGGTTGTTGCACGTCCCTGTCTTGCCCAGAGTCCGAGAAATCCCAGGGTTGCTGCACATCCCTGTGGTGCCCAGGATCCCAGAAATCCCAGCTGCTTGTTCTTGGTCCATGGTGTCCAGTTAACACAGCTGATGGGAACACTGGGAGGCAGTGGAGATCCCACCCAGCCCTGGGCTTATCCTAAACCTCTACTTGCTGGAAACATTCCACTGGGCTAATCCTACCCAGGTGGATCCCACCTCTGAGCTCGAGGAATTGTCCTCAGGGATGGTTAAATTCCATATGGATCAGCTCTATGTGGTGCAGAGAACAGCCCTGATCTTCCACACCTTGCTTCTAACTCCTCGTTTTTTGGGTATTTTTTCTCTTTCCCAGATCCGGAATCAAACATTGTATGCAACTCCACAAGTCTTACATCGGTGCCACGGCCCCCTGGGCCGCAGCGCCTCGTCTGTTTGCAAGAACAAAACTCAACAAACCAAGTGCAAGGGTCACTTTATGCATCCTTTAGTGGTTTTTGTAAAAGCTGCTTTTTCTAATCTTCTGCCTCTCTTTTATTTTCCCCCCCCCCCCCTATCCCCCCCCCCCCATGAAATTGTGTAACACACATGACTGACACCGAGCAATAGTAAAAAAAGTTCTTCTCTTTGGTCCTTGGAAAGCTCAGAATCTTCACTTTGCCAGCTGAGTGGTGCAGAGATTCCCACCCCCCTCACCACCCCCACTTCTTGTTCTTTTGGGTTCTCCTTCTGTCGTCGTCGCCCAAGCCGAGATTTTTGCAGCGTGGTTGATGTTCAGGGGACTGTGAAAAGCACAGCGCTGGTTTTCCTAAACAGGCAGGTTTGTTCTCTTGGTTTGGTGTTTGGTTTTTTTGTTTTTTTTTTTTTTTTAGTTGGAGATGATCAGTGATTCAATCTTCCATCACGTACTCCGAGCAAATTGGTGTCTTCCAGAATAGCTGTCGTGGTAGGTTCGAAATCCGCAGTGGAGTTCTGAGCCCATCCCTTCTTTTTGTAGGAGTAAGAGGATGTAAATGTTGGGGAGCACTTGTGGTAGGGAGGGCAAGGACTGGTCACCCTCAGGGGGGCCTTGGGCTGCTCTTCCCACTGGGAATATGGATGGTGGTTGAT